TCCCTTGCTTCTCTTTCATTTAGCTCTCTCTGTGGGGATTCAGCTTTTCCACTCATTTGGGGGGAACTTCTTTTTCTCCCCATTTTTGTAGGAGTCTATTAATTAATTAATTTGTTAATTAATTAATTAATTTTTGCTTTGGCTTCAATTGATCCGTCTAGATTTCCTGACTTTGTGGATTAAACTTCTATGGTAGTAAGCTGGTCTTTTTATTTATTTATTTATTTTTTCTTTACTTTTCTTTCTGACTCTGCCTCTGATGATGACAGTTGACCCTATCTGACCTTGGGTCATTTGTTTGAGCCTTCCAAGAATCTACTGTCTGTGTCTGACTCCTGGTTTGGGCAGCTCTGTGACCCCCTTGGTCAGGGATCTACTATTTCTGTGGATCGCTCTGCACTCTGACTCCAGTTGTTTGAGCGTGCTCCTCCTGCCCCGGGACCTGTGGACTCGCCAGACCTCGCACTCGCCTGGCACTAAGCCCCCGCTCCGGCTTTGGTCAGTTTAGGGTTTTCTATTGTGTGCTTTCCCTGCTTTTGGCTCTTTGGGGGTGTGGCCTGCCCGCGCAAACTGGAGACTAAGGAAATGGGAAGAAGTCAGCTCTTGGACATTCCGGTTAATCCTGTCTCCAGTCTCTCCCAAAGGGTCTCTGGGCCTCTCTGTGACCCCTTCGGCTAGGGATCCACTATTTCTGCGGACTGTAATTGAGAGCCTTCTGGCTCCCTCGCCACTTCTGCCTCTTTGGGGGTGTGGCCTGCCTGTGCAAATGGGGACTACAGAATCGGCAGGGACTCTGCTCCGGGGATCTCAGATAATCCTCCAGTTTTTTCCCCAACCCCTCCATCTCCAGTCTCTCCTCAAGGGTCTCTATGCAGCTGTATGTCCCCTTTGGCCAGTGATCCTCTATTTCTTCCAGCCAGTCTGCACTCAGTCCACATGCCCACAAGCTGTGCGCGGAGCATACAAAAGGCAGGTTAATTGATTCTCTTATGCCTGGGTCAGGTGGTAGCTGCAGAGTGGAAGGTGAGTTATGACCGGGTCTCCACTGGCCACCACCTCTGCTCTCTTCACGAAGTTTTCCTCATCAATCTTTCCTCAGGCACCTGCCTATTCTCCTGTCGCCTCTACCCAGGGATCAAGGAAGGCGGCTGCCACTGCAAATTTTTGCATTGGCCCTTTAAATGTATCTTTGCATTTCCAGCCACCTATCTCTAGCAGAGAGCCCCCCTAAGCTTTTCAGGGTTGTGTTTTGGGGGAATAAACACAAGTTGTCACAAACACTTCTCTGTTTGCCTTTCGTGGAGAAGGCCCTGAGTCCCTTTTTTCCAAAGGCTTTCATTGAAAGGGTTATCAGGGGGGCTAGGTAACAGGAATGTGCAGCTTATCTCATTACATCAATATGTTAACGTTTACAGAGAATAGATGATGTTTGGAAGAAAACAAATGGCAGGAACATACCAATTTACATGGGTCCAAGAGGAGACTAGTAAACATGGAGCATAAGCATGAGAGCACCAAAGGGTTTAAGGTTAGGGTGGTGAATAATGTAAATTTCCTTCCCAGCATGAGCTGGCTATTATAGCTTTTGAGGGAGAAACAAACCATGCTTTAAAGAATTTACTTCTAAGCCTGATTTCCCCTGGGAACTGCCAGATCCCGTTTAGGACAGTCTCCAGAATTATTTCAAGCCTGAGCCAGGCAGCAGGGAGGGAGCTGCCAAGGGGGACAAGGAGACTTCTTTCAGATGGAATGAGGGCCTTGGCCATGTCCAAGGTGAGCCGAGGGCTGTGGGCCTTTTTGCCCTTTCTCCATGTTCCCCAAGTCCTTGACCTGCTGCCCATATTGGCTGTGTCTGGCTTCAGTCATCCCTCCTCTTGAGGAATCTTACCTGTCATTGACTACCAACCATCACAGGGCCAAGCAGGGTGATGTGAGTGAGGCAGGGGCTGCACCTCTGCTAGGGCGACAGGTTTTGTCTCCTCAGTGGCATGTTTTCCCTAGGCCTCCTTAATTATTTCCAGCCTTGGGGCCCTCTCGACTGTTGGCAGGGCTACAGTTCCTGAAACCAGATGGGGCATTTCCCAACAGTGCAGCATGAGCCAAGACCAACCATTCCTATGGAAAAGCAGCTTTGGTGGTCCCATAAGTTGGGTGGGACAGAGTGTCTGGGGATCTCCAAAGCAGGTCAAATAGTTTTAGCCAGGTTGATAGAATCTCAGATATGGCAGTAGCTTTCCAGCTCTGTGACTCAGTGGCTCTGTAGGGGGATGGTTTATAAAAGGGAAAATGAACTTTATTTACCTTGATGCCAAACACTTCAGTTTCCCTCAGTATGCTGGTTCCTTTCAAGCTGCTACCACAGTGCTGGAGCTCAGAGGGAGGGAGTCAGAGTAGGTGAGTCCATGTGTGGGTTCTTTAAGAGCAACTGCTTGGGGCTCCAGAAGTTTCTTCCACCAATTCAGTCCCTGTTGGGTTTTGCAGCCAGAAGTTGTGGGGACTTATCTTCCTGGCACTGGAATCTGGGCTGGGAGTGCTGATGTGGAGCTGGGACTCCTTGCTCCTGAGATATCCCTCCCAAATTTTTATCCACCACATGTGGGTATGGGACCAGGCCAATCCGCATTATCAGCATCTCCTACCAGCCTGGATGGATATGGTTTCTTTCATTCTGTTGTTGTCAAACTTCCATTCAACTTGATTTCTGATGGTTCTAAGTTATATTTTAGTTGTAATTTTGATGTGATTGTGTGAAGAGGTGAGCCATGTCTGTGTATGCAGCCATCTTAACCTTTTTTCAAAATCCAGTCTTTATATTAGTGTTTAGCTCATTGACATTTGATGAATTACTGATATAGCTTGTTTGAAGCCTCTCATCTTGCTACCTGTTTTCCAGCATCTCATTTATTCCTTTTATTCTTCCTTTTCCTTTGGATTACTAAAGTATTTTCTTATATAATATGCTTTGTTTTCTTTTTAGCTATTCCTTTTTTTATCCTTTATTAGTACTCCTTGAAATTATAACATGTATTCTTGTGTTACTATAATAAGACAGCTGAACCTATTAGTACATTTATAACTTCACAAACGTCAAAATCTTACAACAGTTTCATTCATCCTCTTAACTTACTTTGTGCTACTATTTTATATATTTCTCTCCTGCATATGCTTTAAAGCTTATAAGATATTGGCATTATTATTGTTATACTCAACCAAATTTTTTATATTTACACAAATATTAATATTTGTTCTTTCTTGTATTATTTGGTTATATATTTCCTTCCTTTCATCTGTGATGATTTTTCTTGAGTCTTAAAAATTTCCTTTGCTATTTCTTGTAGTGAAATTTTATTGGCAATTCTTTCAGTGGTTGTTTGCCTGGAAATATCTTTATTTTCCAGTTTTAAAGACTATTTATTTTCAATAATTTCAATAATGCCCTGGTTTCCATAGTTTCTGTTAAAAAAGTAGCCTTTAGTAGTTGTTGCTACATTAGTGTCTTTTTATTCTGGTTGCTTTCAAAACTTCTTTCTCTTCAATTTTGATGTGTTTAGGTACAATTTTCTCTCAGTTATTTTACTTTGGGTTCCACTGAGCTTCTTGAGTCTGTCGGTGGATGTATTTAATCAATGTTGGGGAAATTCTCTGCCATTATGTCTGCCTATTTCTTCTGTCCCCTTCTTCTCTCTTCTTCTGGATCTCCAACTATATGGATTAAATATCCATATATTCTACATATTTCTTATGTTCTGTTCTGTTTTTTTATTTTTTTTCCCTTTGTGCTTTAGTTTTGGTCTTGGCCTGAATTAAAGCTCAAAAATTCTGCCTTCCTTTATGCGCAATCTGCTGTTAAAACTATCAAGTTCTTAAATTTATGTTTATTTTTTAGTTAGCAAATATTCATTTGATTCTATTTAAACAAACAACTATTCTTGAAAATGTTCATCTTTTCATCTACTTGTTCATCTTTTCTTCTATTTTCTTTAACTTGTTTACAATAGTTATTCCAAGTTCTTTATCTGCTAAATCAAGCATCCAGATCATCTGTGAGTCTGCTTCTATTATCTATGTTTTATTGATTACTATTTCTACTTTTGTCTTTGCATATTTATTAATTTTTTAATTGTTGCTAATCTTGGTGTATGTAAAATAACCAAAATGGTGAAGTTATTATTATTTTTTTAAAAGACTGTTTGTCTTTTCTTCTGTTAGGCAAATAGTGTGAGGGGTTGATTCTGGCTAGGTGGTAGCCAGAATGCAATTTACTAGAATCAATATTCCTTCATCTCCGATAGCTGGTGGGAGAATTTCATAATGTATTTATTGCAGGTCTTTTCCTCTAATGGGTCTTACTACCCTGAGTACCATGAAACTGTAGGAGAAAATTGTTAAGACTTTGAGCAGCCTTCTATCTGCCCAAGTACTTAGCAATATTCCTGCAAGCCCATGTGGCTCTCAAAACCTTTACTCTTTTTTTCTTTTTGAGATTTGCTCTGTGTTGTTCAAACCAAGTAAAATTTTTCCAATGAATAAAATGACTGGCTATCTCATGTCACCCAGAAAAGCTTTATCCTGACTGCATTTCAGTTCAGCTGTTTCTTTTTATTTTCCCTGAACTTTCATGTCTTTAATTCTTGCTAACTTAATTTTATTTTTGTGACTTACCATTTTGTTTTTCTAGAAGTTGCAGTGGGAGTATTGGTTTGACACTATGTACTGAATTGTATGTTGAAAAGAAAGCCCATTGGCCACCTGCATTTTAATAATTTATTTAAACATAAACATTTGAAGAGAAGCTAATTTGGTGATGCCTATAATTGATACCTAATTCCTTGGCTTTATAAAAATTTTAATATTTAAAACAAAGTACATCTGTTCTGTTTCTGGAATGTAGCACTACATTAACATTATATATTAGTTAAACATATATTGATTATATTAAGTTAAACCATTGGGAAATTGAGTTTCTAAAATCAGTGCATTGGTTGTCCACTTTTACCTAGGAAAAGATGTACAGCTCAACTGCTCTGCTTTGCTGAATGAAAAGGATCTGATTTATTGGACCTTCCAGAAAGAAAATGGAGAGAACTCTAATGCACATGAAGAGAAAGAAATAAGAATTAAGTATGTATATACAATATATGATATATATCATAGTATGTATAAATATTATTGTATCATATATACCTGATATAAAAATACCCAGACTCCTGAAGAGCTATGGGATGTTTGGGATAAGTGTAAATTATAATTATAATTTATGTTTTATAATTATAATTCCCATGCTTTATGTTGATGGATTATGCAGAAATTCATTGCTGAGATCTAAACTAAAGGAAGGAAGTCAATGAGGCACTTTAGCACCACCTTACAAAAGCAGCTTTTGGTCAGTTAGATTTGGTGGACAGATGGGGATTGTACCTAAGCATCTTAAAAGGAGTGAAAATCTGGGCCACAGTTGTTTTGTATTTTGAAAATTCTGGTAAGTGCTTTATTTTTACTAATGTGCCAGAATAAAGATCACATCAGGAGACTGTTACATGTATAAGTTAATTTGGGCCCCTTGTATATAGTAGGTGTCCCTAGCTGTATTGCCCATGTGTCCTGTGAGACCAGCCAGGAGGTTGTAATTACAGAATGACTCATCAGTATATTTCTCTGCAGGGCCTTGGGTGCAACCAAGGCCAAAAGCAGGCTGTCTCCTGCTACCTGTCCAGATCTACATCCTACCCTTACACATATACCTTTCTTTTCTTCTGATTGTTGAAAATCTTTCATTATAAGAAACTTGAGAAATAACAAGGAAATCGTCATTTGAACACAGTAATGTGTGTGTTTTGGAAATTTATTTAATGGGCAAGAGATACACTGACATAGATACTGGCTCCTGCTCTTTATAAATAGTTTATAGTTTCTTTTTAGAACATTCTTTACAGTGATTATCTTTTTTTAAATAATTAAAAGAGCATTGATGAATTTTATCAAGCATGAAAGGGTTTCCAGAAATTGTTTCAAGCAAATACTAATTTAAATTACAAGTCACCTGCATTGACATTGAGCATAGTAATTACTGCAACATTTTCTTGTCAGAATCCATTCATGGAAATTAGAAACACAATAACAGGTAGAAAAAGCAAACAGGATAATGATTAGATATAAATATCTAGGAGGCAGTATTCATGCAAAATATTCCAAATGACATGTATTAATACTTAAATGATATATATTCTTCCACTAAGGAATGGTCAGACTTATTAAAACAAAGCTAAGTCTATTGTAATTTAAACGTTTCTCAATGACTTTGGATCATTATTGTAATTATTAACGTACTGATACACTCAGGTTATAAGCAGCGAGCCTAAGATTTCTATCATTTTAGCTGCACTTTTGAGTTTTTTACTGCATTTTATACTTTGAAAAAATATTCAAGCATTCTTCATGATCCTGCTATCTGTTCTCAATTCTTGTTGACACTTGTTTACAGGCTGCTCACCCTATAAACAAGGGGCAGGTGCATGATGGTCAGTGCACAGTAAGTGCTGGTTCAGCTGAATTGCATGGCTATCCTGCCCTTCTATCTTCTCCTCAGCATCTGTCCTCCACTGTAGTTCTGCATTTTTTAATTTCCTCCTTCTAGTGCTCTCTTGTTAATCTTTGGAGAGGTAGAAAACCAACCTGTCAAGCTTATTAAAAGTGAAGCCTAAACTAAGAGAGTGAGATGATCTTTTTTTACAGTTGGGTGTATGAGCTTTTTTCATTTGTTTTGGCTTCTCAGTGGCCTTGCGTGCCTCACTTCTCTATTTCTCAGTAATGTTAGATAGTTGATATTCTATATTGGTGACTTCTGTACAAAATGGTGTTCTAAAATGTATCAGATAGTTGGAGGCTGCAGTGGGTACCATGTCCCAGTTATCAGAGATGCCTGCTTCTAGGGAAATCAGGTGATGACTCCATGTGGAAGTGCTGGATGACACAGTGCTGTCAGACCCTGTTACTGAAGGGGAAGCAGATGTCGATGAGCATTTGTCTTGCATTTAATGACAGGAAAACTTAGATTCTTTCAAGAGAGAAAGAAAACTTGCTACCAGGGGTTGTCTTCAGTCATTTTCTGACACACTGAACAACTTAGTGTTTCTCTTCTTTCCAGGGAGTATCTGAGGATAATGTTGTTTTATTTATTTTTTTAAAGTATATGTTATTGATTATGCTATTACAGTTGTCCCATTTTTTTCCTCCTTTTTATTCCCCTTTGCCCTGCACTGCCACCCCCACCAGCATTCCCTACCCCCTTAGTCCATGTCCGTGGGTCGTACATATAAGGTCTTCAGCTTCTCCATTTCCTATACTATCCTTAACCTCCTGCTGTCTATTTTGTACCTACCATTTATGCTTCTTATTCCCTGTACCTTTTCCCCCTTTCTTCCTCCTCCCCCTCCCTACTAATAACCCTCCATGTGATCTCCATTTCTGTGATTCTATTCCTGTTTGCTTAGTTTGTTTTTGTTTTTCTTTTTGGTTTTTAGGTTCAGTTGTTGGTAGTTGTGAGTTTGCTGTCATTTTACTGTTCATAGTTTCTTAGATAAGTCCCTTTAACATTTCATATAATAAGGGTTTGGTGATGATGAGCTCCTTTAACTTGACCTTATCTGGGAAACACTTTATCTGCCCTTCTGTTCTAAATGCTAGCTTTGCTGGATAAAGTAATCTTGGATGTAGGTCCTTGCCTTTCATGACTTTGAATACTTCTTTCTAGCTCCGTCCTGCCTATAAGTTTTCTTTTGAGAAATCATCTGATAATCTTATGGAAACTCCTTTGTAGGCAACTCCTTTTCTCTTGCTGCTTTTAAGATTCTCTCCTTATCTTTAATCTTGAGTAATGTAATTAGGATGTGCCTTGGTGTATGCTTCCTTGGGTCAAATTTCTTTGGGGCTCTGAGCTTCTGGACTTCCTGGAAGTCTATTTCCTTTGCCAGATTGGGGAAGTTCTCGTTCATTATTTTTTTCCAATAAGTTTTTAATTTCTTGATCTTTTTTCCTTCTGGCACTGCTATGATTTGGATGCTGGAATGTTTAAATTTGTCCTGGAAGGTTGTAAGCGTCCACTCATTTTCTTGAATTCTTATTTCTTCATTCTGTTCTGGTTGAATGTTTATTTCTTCCTTCTGCTCCAAATCATTGATTTGAGTCCTGGTTTCCTTCCCTTCACTGTTGGTTCCCTGTGTATTTTTCTTTATTTCACTTTGCATAGCCTTCACTTTTTCCTCTATTTTGTGATGATACTCAACCATTTCTGTGAGCATCCTGATTACCAGTGTTTTGAACTCTGCATCTGATAGTTTGGCTATCTCCTCATCACTTAGGTCTTTTTTTTTTTTTTGAGTTTTGATCTTTTCTTTCATTTGGGCCATATTTCTATGTGTCAGCACACCTGTTACATTGTAAGGGATGGAGCCTTAGGTATTCACCAAGGCAGGGCAACTCATGGCACTGTGTTGTGGCCTGTATTTGGGGGAGGGGTCAGGGAGGGAACAATGCCACTTGCTTGACTCTTGGCAGCTTTCAGCCACTTCCCCCAGTACCTACAAGCAAATTGTGCCGTTTCAGGTGCTGATCCCTGGGTCGGTGTGTCTGTGTACGTTCTAGGACCCTGTGGGTCTCTCCAACAAACACTCCTGTGAAACTAGGTGTTTATCCTGCTTCCACAAACCCCGCAGGTTTTTACAGCCAGAGGATTTGAGGATTTCCTTTCCTGAGCTGGAATCCTGGGTTGCATGGTCTGTCTCACTCCCCAGGTTTTCCTCCCAGTTTATCTGCCCATGAATGTGGGACCGCCTGGTCCACCAGCCACTGTCTCACCTACCCAGTTCTCCTGAACAAAATAAAAGTGATGTTTAGTATTGCACAAACTTGATATGAATCTGTGTCTATGCTGAATCATTTGCAGTCTTGTATTTTTAACTAACCATAATTTCCTTCCAGGCACTTTAATTCTAGGTAGTTCATAATATCATTCCCAGATGGTCCATGAGAGCTGTATCAGTTGGATCCAATGCTTTGTGGAAGAGTGGGAGGTTCCTGTGGCCACATTTTAAGAGTTCCCACCAGAAAGGGAGAGCCTGATGAGTCACAAAGCTGCTGCATTTGAGTAATTGCACATATGAAATCTTCTCTCATGGATAATGTTGCTGGCAGTGAATGAAACCTAGTGCTAAATTATTTTCCTCTCTTATAGGACTTCAGAGGGCAAATGGCACACTTCAAAAATATTGAGAATTGAAAATATTAATGAAATAAATCTAAATTTTTTATATAATTGCACTGTGGCCAGTGAGGGGGACATAGACACCAAAAGCTTCATCTTGATGAAAAAAGGTATGAGAAAGTTTTATTTTTGGAAGTCTTTTTGAAATTTTGAATGTTGCTGCTGAGGGACTCGTCAAAGATCATCATGTCTTCATTTTATGCACCTGAAACCAGTCTTCTGCAAGGTGAACACCTTGTGTGATAGGTGTTCAGAACAGAACTGGTGCTCAGCTCATGTTGGAACCCCTCATGCCCAGATTCCAAGCAGAGAATGACAATAGAAAATGTATTATTTTGTCCTCAATGATATTCCAATCCTATGCAGAAGCCAGGGTACCAGAACAGAGAGGCAGGTAGAGTCTGGGGACAGAGGTGCTGGTGGATGAAGGTCATGGGAGGTAGTCAGGACAGCACTGGCTCAGCCAGATAATCAGAGGAAAGTGTCCAGTTCATTAGAGGGTGAGGCCAAAGATACTGGGAGTACTTGCTGCCTTCAGCCTACCTTAGTGGGCACTGGGCACAAGGGCCCTAGGGTGTGGTCATTCAGTCAATAACAATTATCCATTCAAGAACAATTCTCTTCATTGGGTCAGTTCCCGAACTTGAAAAGTGGACAACTGATGGTTCTGATCAGAGGACTCATATTTTCATTGTATACCTAATGGAACTTTTGAAAATCACCCACCTCTATCCTCCACCAAGGAATGTAACCCAGATCCTTTAGCCTAGTAGCAACTTAGGAATGGCTGTGTCTGAGCTAAAAAAAACTATGCTTTCCCATTGTTAGTACTCATTCACTACTCATTCCCAGGCTAGGGCATCCACCTCATAATATGTAGGTAAGGGCTACATTCTGAGAAAGACAAAGGGATATACAGAGACAGAGAAACAGAAAAACAGAGATGAGAGAGGGAGAGAGAAACAGGAGTGTGTGTGTTATGTCTTGGCTTTGGTGATAAACTGAAGAAGTGAGGGAGATGGAACCTAAGGCCAGAAACTCCCTCTCTAGGTGTGAGATCCTGGTTACCATTTGCAGCTCACCTATAACGCCTGTTCTAAGGCTATATATCAGAGTAGCATATGCATTAATAATAATAGCTAACATTCTTTATGTGTTCATTATATGATATGCTACACTAAGCTCTTACCATTATTTAACCTGATCTTTACAACAAGCTTTTATAGGTGAAAAAACTCACCTCATGTCACACAACAAGTAAAGATATCAAAGCTTAGACTTGATTAAAACTTTGAAATTAACTAATTTACTTGATACTTTTACCTTCTATAGGAATTGTCACAGATGTTCTTCCACCTCATGTGGACATACATGCCTTGGTCCATGAACATGTGAGGGAGAGGTTTTCAAATCCATTATTTTTGTTTGATCCATTGTCTTGCCTGGATCTTTGATGACTGGTGTTCACCAAGCCACTTCTCCCCTCTTAGATTAGTGCTTGATTGTTCTGTCCCTGAAATAGAGGTTTCTATCCTGATCATGTTTCCTTTTGCTGTGTTCACAACTTTCATCTGGGTTATAGGGTCTTCTACTCCACCGTTCTCTCTGAAGGAGAATATGTGCCAGTGTGAAAGTGTGTGTTTGTGTATCTGTGTGGCACAGTCATGGATGGGCAGACCTCTTAAAGATGCAGGAACTCCAGGGTCTGGCTTTATTCATAGTTTACTTATGAAGCAAATATGGTGGCTTACTGATACCCTAGTAGTTAATTTTATGGGAAAGATCATTTCTAAAATTTGTGCAAAGATGTCAAGAGCTTTATGCCTGTTTATACTATTTTACATAGAACTCCCTCAACCTTTAGAATCTACTCTAGAGGAATAATCAGAAATATACATAAAGGTTTATGCATATGTTCATTGCAGCATTATTTATATTTACAAAAAAACTGCAATCATTCTAAATATCGAGATTATAACTTTAAAGACCTAGTGAACTACATATAATATACTATACAATAAAGAGTAATTATCATATCCCAATTAAGTCAATATTTTTAGGGAATATAGAAACCCAAAAGGAAATATACTAGCATGTTAGCAGTGCCTATTACCACATTGTGGATGGTTGTTAAAAACTATTTTATTCTTTTTACTCTTTCATGTTATTTCATATTGTCCATAGTGAGCATAAACTGAATCATTCTAAGGTATTTTTTCTCAAAAGATGCTTTCATAAAAAATGTTATAAAATTCTTAAAGCTCTGTGCCAGATGCTATGTCAACTACTTAGATGCAATATCTCATCTAATCTTCTCCCCAAAAGCAATCATTAGACTCATATTACAGGTTAAGATACTAACATTAAGGACATCAGTGACATTTCCTAGGACACAAAATAGAGCCAGACTGGGAGCTCAGATGATCTCAGTTAAGTGCTTATTTTCTCAGGACGATGTGTCTCAACATATGGTCAAAACCTGTTCTCTGAAATTCATGTTTTGGCTCCTCCCTCTGTATTTCACTCTAGTGCTATATAACCCTAGAGATCTGACTTACACAGACAGGGATAGACAACATTACAATGCTTTCAGTTCAAGTCTCTGTATATCCATGTAAATATCTTTATTATTTAAAAATGGGAGTAGAGTATGCTGACAGATGTTGGAGGAAGAGTGAAGAGACAGAAGAAAAAAAAGAGGAAAAAACTCATGGACATGGACAACAGTGTGGGAATTGCCAGACAACAGTGGGGGTTGGGAGGAGGAGGAAGAGGGTAAAGGGGAAATAAATGGTGATGGATGAAGACCTCACTTGGGGTGGTGAACACACAATACAGTGTACAGATAATGTAGTATAGATTTGTACACCTGAAACCTATATAATTTTATTAACCAAATCACCCCAATAAGTTTAATAAAGAGAAAAAGTAAAATAAAAAAAGGGTGTAGATAGATCATTGCTCCAAACTAAGGGAAGGATTATAGAATAACTCAGTGGAACATATTGGATAGACAACTGGATTAGTATTAATGGTAAAAACTGGCATCTGCAGCCTAATGGTGAGAGACAATGATAAAACTTCTTTGATTAATTATTCTCATTTTATCTTTCTTTCTAGCAGATCTGGTTGATATCCCAGGCCATGTCTTCATTAGAGGAATAATCGTAACTATTTTGATCTCGGGGGTAGTCGTGTGCCTAGTGATTGTGGTTGTCATTTATAGAGTTGACTTGGCTCTATTTTACAGACATTTCATGGGAAGAGATGAAACATTAACAGGTAACATATCATAATGTTGAGATTCCTTATCCTATAGTTTTCTTAGGAAACCTAATAAAGAAACATTAAACTTCATCTTATTTTGAATATATTGTTGACTTAATGTGTTAGAGGTTTTCCATGGGAAAAAATTGCTCTAAATGTATCATCCATTATGGATGTTGTCTGTGCCATCTTTTTTTGTGCTTATATGCTGCCAAAAACTGTTCTCTATTTGTTTCTGTATGTATGTCATGTCCTACTAAAGGCCCTATGAAATGCTTGATCCCAGGAATTCTATGTCATTGTTCACATACCTTCTGGGCACCTTATACAGTGTGTTCACGCAATAAATATCATTTAAATGGAATTAAATTGTAGTATGGTTCATTACTTTAATCTGGCAGAGGAGGTTGCATGATGTACCTTAAGGAACCCTGAATTAGAAGCCCACTAGATCTGCTCAATTTTACCTACTACTATTTGATCTGGTGAGTCTGTCTCAGTTTCCCTATATTTTTTAAAGGTGGGTAAAAGCCTTCAAGATTGAATATAATTACTGAATTAAAAAGTCAATCTAACCCATTGTACTTGCTTTTGTGTTTGTGTGTGTGTGAACGCATGTGTGTATGTATGTATGTGCAGGGAATATTTCAAAGCACAGAGAAATTATACAGTAGAAAGTTTCCCTACCAGCCTGCTCATGTCTGTATTTCTCACATCATCCCCTGACAGTATACCCAAACAAGTATGAATCTTATTCTACTTTTGTTTAAAAAAACAAGTCTTGTTGTATAATGCTCATTATTCTGAACTTTGCTTTACTATGCCTTTGATACCCTGCCATGTCAGTTTATAAAGTCATTTTTTAATGGTTTAATTTCTATGGATAAAACCCTACAGAGTTTTATTTCTGTGGATGTACCACTGTTTATTTAGTCACCTTTTGATAGATACTTGGGTTGTATTACAACCTTTTGTTATTACAGAAATGATGTGACAGATAGCTTTGTACAGTCATTGTTTCATATATGTGCAGTATAATTGAAAGAAAAATTCCCCAAAGTGGACTTTCTAGACATACCAAGCAGACATACAGTTGTTATTTTGCAAGATAGTGCCCATTTGCCCTCCATTAGACTGTACTGCCTACCACCTTAAATGATGGGACTAGCTTTTCCCCAGAGATTTATCCACAACCTTTTGGATATTTGCCAATCTGATAGTTTGAAAAGTTGTATTTCAAATGTAATTTTCATTTGGATTTCACTTACTATGCAAGAATATGAGCAACTTTTTATTTGGTAAACACTCAATTGCATATCCTTTCTCAAAGTACCATTCATTTCCTTTGCCCATTTTTTAAATTGGGTTGTTGGCTTTTTTCCTTGTGTATTTTGAGGAGTAATTTACATTTTAAGGAAGTTAGCCTATTGTCTATAATATGAAATGCAAATATTGTTTCCAGGTTGTAATCTGTCATTTGACTTCGTTTATGTCACAGATTCTTTAATGTATTCAAATTTATTCTTTCTTTTATGGTTTCTGGATTTGTGGTCATAAGTAGAAAGGCCCTCCTAACCTCAAGTTATAAAGACATTTTATATTTTTGAGATTTTTTATAGGTTCATTATTCACATGTACAACTTTTAATTTACTGATATAAAATTAACAAAAAGAATTCATTTAGATTTGAGCCTGCGTGTGTGTGTGATTTTGCCAAGGAGAGAAGCTCCAACGAACTGGGAGATTTGTTTTGATATTTTATTACTTGCATAGATCAGTACAAATCTCAGAATGGGCATTCACTAATATCTCTTTCTGATTTTCAACTAAGATTTTTTGTTTATCCCTGTAGCTGTGTTTGACCCAATTCAAAGATACTTTTTTTTTAATTCGCATGTCTTAGCTTTCTATGTGGCTGTGCACAGAAACATTTACAGATGTGCTCCACAGCAACTCTACTTAGACTGTGGCCAATGGATAGAGCTCATTTGTGAAAAGGTGAAAATGGAGCTACAAGTACAAAAATTAAAACTTTTACATTATTGAAATTTTATATTGCTGCACTATCCAACAATGTATTCAGTTATTGTTTTATGAAAGATTGGTAATGAAAGAAACCAATCAACCAAAAAAACTAAAATTAACGGAAAACATGGTTATTTGCCACAGAGTTTGAGAAGCACTGGTCTGACTGACTCTTTGTAGTCCCAAATATCCATTCACATGTTGGTTTTATTTATACAGAACCAAAAAAAAATTATTAGCATTTAAATTAGTTATTTTGGACATGTTGTGAGTTATTAAAGCCAACAAAGATTCCATTAATTGGGTTAAAAAATAAACTATAATATAAGTTAGTATATTTGTTAAACCAAGAAAAGAATGTCTTGGAAAAGTTAATTTGAAAGCCAATTAATAGTGAAAAACTAATTTTTCATTGGTAAGAGTAAAGCTATATCACATGTATATCACAATATAAATTTGACTGAATTATCTTTCCAATTTATTGCAATTAATTAAATCTGATTATGAAAAAATATGCCTTTTTAGAAGTGTACTTATTTATTTTTTTATATCTTGATGCCTGTTTTAATCACTGAAATAATGACTGTATTAATGAAACCACTCCCTCTTATAATTAATCACTGAAATAATGACTGTATTAGTGAAAGCACTCACTCTTATATTAATAAATAGCTGTATTTCACAGCAATCTAACAGAATTTTCCAAGATACCCACTTACTGATTACATTAAGTTGGCCAACTTTTTTTTTTTTACCAACTTTTACCAATTTTTAATCTATATTTGATATGCATGTTAATTCTGCAATTTTGACCAAATGTCCTGTCATTTACATGTGTGCAATTCTATAAAGCGATTGCTTTTTTACTTTTAAAGATTTCATTTATTTACTTTTTAGAGAGAGAGGAAGGGAGGGAGAAAAAGAGGGAGAGAAACATCAATGTAAGGTTGCCTCTCGTGCACCTCCTCACTGGGGACCTGGCCTGCAACCCAGGCATGTGCACTGACTGGGAATCGCACCAGTGACCCTTTGGTTTGCAGGCTGGCACTCAATCCACTGAGTGACGCTGGCCAGAGCTAAGCAATTACTTTAAATCAGCAGTAGTTTCTGACTCAAACTGCTGAGGGAGAGTGCTATAAGTAGAACTTAACTGAAGAAGATTTTGCCAGAAAAAGAGTATTGTTATATGAGCCTGGATGCTGTTAAAGAAATTGGGCTGGGCTGTCAAGCATAAATGCTGTGGCACCACAAAGAATATGGACCGAGAATGGTTTCATCCTATTTAATTTTAATAAAGGATCCAATAATACTTAGTCTTCAACTCAATAGGAAATACATTAATCCCAATAATGGAATCACGCATAAATCTAACTCCTCTATAATCTAAACAGTTGCCATGAGATATGGATAAAGCATTCCCTCTACCACTTCCCCTTCTTCCTCTACTGTTCGAGTTAGCATATATCACCTTATTTAGGAGCTGACTCAAAATTTTCTTCTTTCAGAAAGCGTACCCAAGATAGCTCCTTATTCTCTGACCAGATTATTTGGTTTATTTGGTTTGTATTACACTCTCTTGTGTCTGCCAATGTGTTATTTGTAAACTTTTCAAGTTGTTGCATTTGTGTGTTACCTCTTCTCAAGTATATTGGATGAAGATAGAAAAATATATATATGATTTTTTAGTAACCCAGTTAATAGAATGACCTTTGTTATTTAGGTAACGCATTACTCTCCAATATGTGCCTTTGGCATTTGAATACTGAATACTGCTTCATTATTAGGGATAAAATAGGAAAAGATGCTATCATCAATGAAAACCTTTAAATAGACTAGAAGTTTTTGTATTGGTATTTATTATATAAATATTATATAATATTTTAAAATACCATAGCATGTGTTTCTATAGTGTATTGTTTCAGTTGCCTCTATTGTTTCTTCACACTCTCCAGTGTAAGCACTCAACATTGTTGTGTTTTTGAATTTATATTTTATTTTTCATTTATAGTTTACATTCAGTATTATTTTCTATTAGTTTCAGGTGTACAGCATAATAGTTAGACAATCATATACTTCACAAAGTGTTCCCACTAATACTTCAAGTACTAACATGGCACCATACATAGTAACTATAATATTATTGACTATATGTCCTGTGCTCTATTTTACATCTCTGTGACTATTTTGTAACTACTGATTTTATCAACACTTCCAAGGGGGTCATTTTGAGGGTAGGCATTGGGCTGGTGGTAGAATTAAATGTTGTAAGTAGAATAAGCCAAGGTGAGATTTGCTTTCCAATGCTGGAACAAGGACACATTTGGGTTATTTGGTCCTCTATTATCTTCTGATTCCTTTATTTCTCTGATCTATAACTTACATGTCTTTCTATTTTTCTTTGGTGTCAAACAGTAGGAGTCTTGATGTTCAAACTTAAAAGTAAAAACATTTGATAATTGGTTGCTCAATTACCATACAAGGTTTTGGGATGCTATTTTTGTCTTTAATAATAATTTAAGTTATTCCTTGTTTTTGACATTTAAAAATTCAGAGATAAAAAATCATAGAAACAAGTAATATTTGAAGGCTGTTGGGAGTTACCTAACTGTTGCTTTGTTTTTCAGTTTATTTTCTATCAAAAATATTTATTTTTTCAGCAGCTTCATTGAGGTATAATTAATATACAAATAACTGCACATATTTAATGTGTATAAGTTGATGAGTGTGGACACGAAGATGCTATATTTAACTTTTACTTTTCAATATATCCATTCCCATTTTCATGATTTTCACTGAAATTTAAACTTAAACTTTCATTTACATACTAATTAAAGGAATAATATGTCTTCCCTCCTAGATGGAAAGACATATGATGCTTTTGTGTCTTACCTAAAAGAATGTCGACCTGAGGATGGAGAGGAACACTACTTCGCTGTGGAGATTTTGCCCAGAGTGTTGGAGAAACATTTTGGGTATAAGTTATGCATATTTGAAAGGGATGTGGTGCCTGGAAGAGGTAAGAAAGGGAAAGCAAGATAGAAAACTAGTGGAAATACTTTCTTTTTATAAGATGAATAGCTTAGCCTAACCCTGTTTTCCTTAAAAACAATTAAACATTATCCTCTGGCCAGGAATAATCAGCTAAATCAGTGTAATGATTAGTGAGAAAACAAGCTAACTGCACTGCTCCCATTAATGGCCTCTCTAGGACCCTGTCTCTTCACTGCACTCCACAGTTCTCTAAAATTTTGGGAAAGGGACCGAGCATTCCATTTTTAGAACCAGTTTCAGAACTGACATTATTGTGAAGCATTTGTTTAGAAATGCTCCACAGTAATTAAGAATACCTCTTTTGCTGATATTTTGTACAGCAGAACCAGACCCTCATTTAATACATGATTTTTTGTACTATAAACAAAAATGCTTGCTCTTGATTGTGTGGACATTGGTGAGAAAATTAAAGTAGAAAATAGGAAAATTGGAAAAAAACAAAAGGAGATTGGTGTTTCATATCATATTTTAGTTATGAAATTCAATTTTAAGTTAATATATAAATATAAATGGCCATAACATGTATCTTGAAGCAAAGTACAATGAAAATGAAAGATATTTAGTAACATCTCCACATTTTCTCTGAAGTCTTCCAGAGCAAACATTTGAAAGCTAGTGTCATGAGTGCTGATGTGTTGCAAATGATGTGATATAAACATCTTCATTGTTATCATCCTTTATTAATTTATCCAACATTTACTGAGTCCATCCTTGTGCCAAATTCCAAACTAGGCAGAGAAGATGTGGCAGTAAATAAGAAATGATTGTGCTTTTTCCTTCCTATCTTACAAATTTGAAAGAGAAAATACACGATTTTGATTTATATTTTATTTTTCATTTCATTACAATTGTTTAGTTATAAATAACTTCTCAAAAAAATAATATGCTAAATTGTCAGATGCTTATAACACTGTGATATTTTTGTGTCAACTCTAAGAATTTAGAAAGCATTATTGCTTGCTATTACATCAGTTCTATTATTGTGCCATTATTTTCTAGCAGTGATTTTGTAAAAAAGATTTCTTCTTAGTTCCTAAATAAAAATAAAGAAGCAAGGAAAATATGACCAGCAACACTGAAAGGAAAAGAAATCAACAGAGACAAGAGGGAAGGTGGGGGCAGGGAAAGGGAAGGGAAGGGGAAAGTCAAGGAACATATAGCAAGGACTCATGGACAAAACCAAAGGGGAAGAGCTGAGGGAGGGAAGGTGGGAGGGGGCAAGGGAAAGAGGTGGGGGGAAGGCAGAGACAAATGTATTTAAAAAGTAAATAAATTAATAAAAAAAGAATAATTTGTTCTCAGTTGTAATGAGTTTTGGTTGAAAACTCTCTATTTTAGAAGGGATAGAGGTCTAGAACAGAAGTTGGCAATCCACTACCCATTCCACCCTCACTGAAACTCAGCCACAAGCTCATATGTTGTCTGTGGCTGCTTTTTAAATTACAACAGCAGAGGTGAGTTGTGGCAAAAGCTATATGACCTGCAAAACCTAAAATATTTACTTTCAGGCCCATCACAGAAAAAAATTTGTCAACCTCTGGTCCAAAAAACATCATGTTTTTTTGTTGTTGATTTTGTTTTATTTTTAAATTCCTATTTTAATGTGCTCCCATGTATGTGTGGAAAGGCAAAACAGTATAATAGTCAGAAACAAGTACTCCAGAACCAGACCATGTGGGTTCAGAGTCTGGTTCTGCCCTTTACTAGCTGTGTGACTCTGGGAAAGTTACTTAACCACTCTGTGCTTTGATTTCCTCCTCTGTAAAAAACAGGGGTGATGCTTTCTTTATAGGGTCATTACAATAATTACATGAGTTAATATATGTAAAACATTTAGTAAAAGATGTGGCAAAGAGTAAGTGCTAAGTAAGTATTCTTTATTATTGTGACCTAGATAATTGCTTTAATAGTCATACCAAATTGAGAATAAATGGTTTGTCTTAAAGAAAAACTTGTGAACTTCAGAGTTAAATAATACCAAGTTAGACTGTGCAAAATGATTTCTATTTCATGCTCACCATTTTAGTTTTCTTAAATTAATATTTCACATCTTGCATTTTCAGCTGTTGTTGATGAAATCCATTCCTTAATAGGGCAAAGCCGAAGACTAATCATCGTCCTCAGTAAAAGTTACATGTCTAATGAAGTCAGATATGAACTTGAAAGTGGACTTCATGAAGCACTGGTGGAAAGGAAAATTAAAATAATCTTAATTGAATTTACACCCATCAGTGACTTCACATTCTTGCCCCAATCACTAAAACTTTTGAAATCTCATAGAGTTCTGAAGTGGAAAGCTGATAAATCTCTGTCTTATAACTCAAGGTTCTGGAAAAATCTTCTTTATCTGATGCCTGCAAAAACAGTCAAGCCATATAGAGATGAATCAGAAGTCTTGCCTGTGCTTTCATAGTTCTGATCTTCAGAAAAGCCGAGTGTAAGAAAGAACCCCTGACACTCTGGAGACTGAGTGGATGAGCCTGTTTATAACCAAGGACATTATTCAAAATAACTCTATGAAAATCCTACTCACAGTTGGCAAATAGAGTATCATAAGATTGTCAGGGGTAATATTAAACATTAATCTGTGGTTGTGTGTTTCCAGAAGACCCTGGAATTTAAGAGAAATAAGTCTCCTGTTTCTCCCTCTTCTGTAACTGGGTATTGAGGCTGGGAATTATGCAAAATAACTTATGCCTTACAAAAATGGAACATTAAGGGTTTTTAATGCTAACAATTGAACTAAAGGATTTTAAATTTATAAAGTGGCATTTTTGGTGAGCCAGTAGGTGACATAGTAACTGGAGTAGTGTTGTCCCCGTCACTCTTCCACAATAGCAACCTACCTCTAAACATCATGAACAGTCACTGGATTGTGTGGGATTGCTGGCAGGGCTGCATGCAGAGTAGGGAATGAGGTGTAAGCCTGCTATAATAGGACCTAGGCCTCAGGATGTGTTTAGTGTACCTCTTTCACAGCTGCAGTCATGGTTCTTGGAACTCCACTAAGGCATTGCACAGGGCATGCTTACTTGCATCTATTTGTGGGAACTTCTTAAAAGCAACACAAAACAACTATCTTTCATGAGAAACACAAATTTTAATTCAAATGATTCTCCAGGTCTTTCAAAAATGGTAAAAAACATTTGTTGATTTTACATAGATGTTTATAAACAGGATGGTTGCCAGATTATATTAGCCATTAACCAACACAAAATTATAGTTATTTGCTTGAGTTTTAAAAAGTTACATATTTAAAATCTCTGTAGGACAGATGTAGCATGGCATGATGATTTTGTGTGTGAGCTATGCAGCCAAAATCCTTGATCTTAAATCCTGGGTTTGCTTCTTAATTCTGTGACCTCTGGAACATTTTCTAATGGATCTGTGCCTCAGTTTCCTCACCTGTAAATTAGAATTTATAATAATTATACCTACTTCAAAGGGGGCTAAATGAATAAAGTAACTATAACAGTTCTTGGCCCAGATATAATATTCTGTAACTGTTATTATTGTTATCATTAATTATTACTTAGATCAAATTTTTAGCAGTGGAGTAAATGGAAGCCAGAGAGCAGGAAAGGAAAGCGATCTGGAGATCCTGCTTTCCTGAGATCAAGGCAGTTATGTTTGAGGACATTAATTATATGTAGAGAGGAGTGTATAGGAGAGGCATATGTACAGGGGCAAGGATGTTTCTTCATTATGCATGAGCAATTTTTGACATTGGAAGACATGCATCTGTCTCCCTGAAGTGAGCCCAGCACTGTGGGCCTTCCTGATAGCCTCAGCAGTGCTTTCTCTCTAGGAAAATCACTGAGTGAGTGATAAAGATCAGCCTTAAAGACAAAGGAAAGTGTTGGTTAAGTTTAGAAGGCTGACTAGAGCATATTCGTGCAGTGTGAATGTTCCAAAAAAGGTTAGAGCAGAGACTAGTTAAAACAGTACATAGTGCTGAAAATTAAGGAATAATGATATTTTCATTAGATTTTCAGTGTCAGAAAATGATTTAATTTTTGTAGAGTTTTCAATTTTGTGTTCCAGTTGTATGGCTAGAGAAAGTAAAATAATTGAATTAATAACATGTTTAATATGTGAAAATATATGGTCATGAGAAATTTTATTGCTATCATTGTAGTCTCTACAGAGAATAATCATGCTTTTCTCTTGTATTATGCATACTTTAAAATATAATGTGTATTTTTATTAAATGTGCTAAATGTATATATTAAATATATGCTTTAAAATATATTAATGAACTGTTGGTCTAGTGGCTTCAGTTTTGAAATGTCTCAATGTCTGTTTCATTTTAAGATTCTAATGTCATTCTCAACATAGATTCTCATCTGTTTTAATAAGACATAGGTCATCCTACCTCTATCTTTTTTAGTGTCAGATTACTTTGTGCCTACCTTCTTCATTTTATCTTCCATTCAGAAGCAAAAGAAGAATCCCCTTCCCTTTCTTACAAGAGCACTCAGTACTCAGCACAAGTACTAGGTCTTCATATGCCAGTTAATGTGCATATTTTGATATTTAAGTGCAAATATTTTCAACTAGGACCAATGAATAACTTTTATTGATGGAATAAAATCATTGTCTTCTATGACTTCAGATGTCCTTAAATTGTGGAATCCATTTCAGAGAATCAGTGAATATTAACTCTCTGAGATGTGTAAAGAAGTACCTCATGTGTGTCTATTATATACTGGAAGCATTCGTTAAAAAGTTATATACTTTCTTAAAGCAGAGAGAGGCCTTATTACCCACATATCCCAAACCCAGGATCTTGAGACACAGTTAAGTCCAGGGACTTGAACCAGATCACCTAACTAGCTAGTGTGACAAGGCTGGGGCAGAAATATATATATTGTGTTCTGTCTTTGGAATTTCCTGTTGAACTGTGAGACTTGAGGCAAGGTTTTGGGGGCTGTGAGCACTTTCTGGGGAGGCACCTTATTCAAGTACTGTCTATGCCAGAGTCCTGTAGGGAGGATGCAGGGCTGCCTACGTTGGCTCAGAGGAGGAAAAAAATGAGTACCAAGAATGTTTAGTCTTTCTTCTAGGCTCCTAAGGTAAAAATGGTGGGGGGAAATAGCACTCAAGACCTCCACAGTATGAAGGTGTGCACTTGACAGGATCACTGTCCAGGGCCGAATTAAAACACAGTTTTAAAAACTCAGAGAAAATAACTTATTACTTTGGCTTGGAGTGCAGCTCTGAGGGAGAAGACCCAGTGACTGAGATAAGCCATCATTCTGAGTACAAATAGTGACTAAGCCACAAATCTAACAGGAAACAAGATGTGTATGTGCTGTGGGCAGGACACAGGGATCTTCCAGGCCCACCTGGATGCCACACTGACAGTGATCACAGTCCAAGCTGGTAGCTCAGAAACCAGTACATAGAATTCTGTGCATGACCTGTGAGAACCAACCTTTATCTCCTCATGGCCTCTTTTGTGGATGCATGTGCACACCTGGGGATGCAATGCCTGTGTGTACACCTCCTACAACTTAATGTGTGTGAGAAATTTCCTTCATATGAAAGGTCAAGATTAACTAGAAAATGGAGCTAGGAGGAAATAGAGGTAAGCCAAAGGAAAAACATATTTTAAAACAAACTTTAATATTCTCAGAGAATCAAAAAATGATGTAACATTAAAGCATAATAAAGTGGAGTTGGAAATTAAAAAGTTAAGTAACAAAAAATGGAAAACAATCTATCAGGGTTGGAGGTTGAGGAGGTTTTTGTCTTACACAGAATGTAAGACAAAAAGTTAAGTAAATTGTAAATAAAAAGGAAATTTGGAATATTAGCCTAAACTAAAGTAATAGAATATCTATAAAATGAGAATAAGAAGACACCCTGCCCTGCTGCCATTCAAGGCCAAGCAGATTAACACAGAATTTGGGCAGATGGAAAAATATATGTGGAGCTCTCAGGATGCCTGACATGCCTTTATTCTGGGGTGGGGCAATCCATGAGCTCTGCAAGCTGCAAACCATAAGTCGTGACTCCCACTGTGGGAAGTCCCAACTCCGTTATATACTAAGTGCACACAAAACCAGCAAGGTGTAAATACTGACCTTCGAGTTATGTAACAGAGCTTCATTCTATGCATTTGGGCCTCTACTCAAGGTTATACAAACACTGCTAAGTTATATTTACCCTGACATCCAGGTGAGGGAACCTGACTAACTCCATTGTCACGCCATTCCACCCCTTCAGAGTTCCTCAGCGTACAACCTATGTGAGGGTGTCTTCTGCGAGGGTCCCTTGGTGAGGAGGGCAGAGCCCTGGACCCAAGTGCCTCAACAGTGGTATAAGCTGGAACAACACACAACCAAAATATAAGCACTGCTGCCTAAGACAGCAAAGACCCACTGCCATTCAGTAGTTAAGGATGCCCACCATTCCTGCCAGGGCTCACTTGTCAGGCGTTCAATAGCATGAATCTCAGAGGCTAATGCCAGAAGAGCTTGGCTAACATTGTGATGGACATCTGGAATGTATACACAGCATTCAACCCCTACTATGGCACATACCCCGCCTTGTGATGCAGTGAGCTTGTTCAAGGCCATGTGATTTTCTAAGGCAAATTTTCTTAATTGATACACTTCCGCATTGAAGAGTCTCAAAGAACTATGTGTTGCATTCAATGCCTGAGCAGTGTGCAAAGCTAAAGCAGTTACCTCAGCCTCAGTGACTATTGAAGCAACTAGAGGAAAAAAAAATGGCTAATGGAGAATACCACCAATGGCTACACTTTGCCTGGTGTCGCACCTTAAACGCTTCCAAACTGGTTGGCCCAATTGCAACAGTTTTCTGAACTCAAGCAGGCAAATAGGGCCATATCCAGATACAACAGCCAGTCCAATTTCTGGGCAAGTAAGGCCACCTATGTGAGCCACATTCCTAGAGGAACCTAGTGGGAACTGCAGCCCACACATTATTCTGTGCCTCCCAGTAATGCTTAAAAGTACGCTTCTCACATAGACTTATTGGAGACCAACCCACTTGGACTTGTCCTTTAGGGTTCACAGTACAAAGAAGGGCTGATCCAGCCAACTCCACAACTTCAGCTGTGAGCCACCCTGAGTCTTCCCATGTGGAATAGCCTACTACCTGCTGGGGCTGCTCAAACCACTGCTCTGCTACAGCATAGATATTGGTCCAGGTTGCATTCCACAGGGAGTGTGCACTATTCCACCGGTTCTGTAACCAAGTCCAATTTGAGACAGGAGCCAGAGAGATTTGCCATGGGAGGCCAGCGGACGTGCTCAGGGGGATTTCAGTGCAGACCCAGTATGCTGACTGGTTAGCCACTGAGGCACAGGTATGAACCCTGTCCACTAAGGTGTTACTTTGCACCCTAAGGGCAAAAAGACAAAGCAGTTATTGGAACTAACA